AGAGATAGTTGATATACAAAGTCATGTTGATCAGACCATCATTAGAACTCTCAAGAGATGCCCGGAGCTGAGAGGTATCATATAAAACTGAACCAGGGACAAAGTCATGAAACAGAGGTTGGATTAGCCTCAGATCATGTAAGTTGCGGTACATTCGGGGAAATAAATTAAATACCAATATATTTCCATCCACCCCTCTAAATGTAACTGGTCTATCATCAAGGTCACTCCCATTCTTTAGTGTTCCACTTACAAAACTTACATGTCTCCTGTTGGCATGGTCTTTTGCAGTTATGTTGAACTGAAAACCAACAGCAGCTGCAGGATTATTTGGTAGATCAACAAACTGCCATGAGACAAACATATAGTCTTGACTAAGACGGCAATTATTGCATCTGAATGTTATGGCTGGCCCTACACTTGTGTTCTGGCATGAATAGTTCAGAAAACTTGAAAGAGGAGTAACTTTTGGGTCAATAAAGCCAGAACTTCCACTAACAAAAGTAGTAGGCATACGCAAGTTCGAGCAGCTCATGCTAGAAACGGTGATTAATTTCAATTCCATATCATTGCTGAAGGATGCTAAGTCAGGAGCATTCGTAGCTCTCACATTATGCACCTCAATGGTTCTCTTCGAGATGACTTGATAAAGCAACCTGAGAAAAAAATTGAAAAATCAAGCAGTGGGCATTCCCATGTCAAATATACAATCTAAGAGACTTGCACATCAAAATCAAGAAATTTGAATTCTATTTACAAAATGATGATTCCATACTCACGCAGCAAACAAACCAGTGAAAAGTATCCAGCTTGCTATTGAGAAAGTTCCACCGAGTTCTGTTTTCCTTTTAATAACTAATTTCTGATCATCCTATTCAGAACATGGCACAAAGAAAAGCAATTCAAAAGACAATTCTGGATTTCGGGTTCAATCGACATTAATGATCAATGAATAACAAAAACAATTCTCTTCAAATAAAAAAAATAATTAAGAGGAATTCTAAAAAGGTGAAAGTGGTGAAGGAGTTAACATAATTAAAGCAGCCTAAATTAGCTCTGACTTGCAATTTCAACAATACCTCACACAATTGTCCTCCAAAAGAATATGCAAAACCCTTTTAAACTATATATACTCAAATAATGGGTGAAAATCATTCAATAAAAACAAAGAACTAGAATCATTCAAAACAGAAAAAAGAAATTCAAGAACTAACCAGCCAATGCCTGGTGGCAAAGCAAACGTCCAATCGACTAACCCACCACCTAATCCTAAACCAAATGCCCCTCCCATCACCAAGCTTCATAAACCGTAAGAATAAGCAGAAGAAAAGCCAGGAAAGCAACAACACAAGCGTAGCCTCCAAGAAAACAGCCTGAGACTGAGTAAACTTCTTGATTGTGTCAAAGGAAAAGAACGTCTCGGGAAAAGTGGCGGCGTAGTAGTCGATCCCAGAATCCGTTTCTATCTGGGACCTAACTGAAAAGACGGCGCAGCTGTTTGCGGCGCGGTTGAGCAGGTACCCAGCTGGACAGGCGCAGTGGGTGCCGTTGTACAGGATTGAGTTCTTCGGACACCCCATTGAAACGCAGAAAAAGGTTGACCCAACAGGGTATTTCAGATGGGTATCAGAGAATCAATGAGATCTTCACGTTAGCGGGAACGAGAGACGCTTCTTCCTCGGAGGAAGAAGATTGGGATGTACGGAAGCAATGGTAGATTTCGTGAATATAAAGAACTTCAAGGGAAGGAAGAAGCAAAGAATTTTCTCTTTTTTTTTTTTAATTATTGAATTTCGTCTTCGGGGTAAACAAAGGTCAAAGAGAGACGGGCATTTTCTAGAGATTTATGGCAACTTGACTGGATAATGATGTTCCAAATGGGGCTTGTAAAAGGCAATTTCAGAATGAATAGACAGAGTCACACAGGAAAAATGAAAATTGGACAAATACACATTAGTCTTTGAGGAATGCTAGCTGCACTCGCCTTTCTCCAGCACTCTCCAACACTCCCTCATCTAAAATAGCCACGTGAACTTTTCTAGTTGGAAACTTTGAATTGCAAGCCAAATTTTGTTACGTGGACATTTTACATGAGAGAGTGTTGGAGAGTGCTGGAGAAAGGCGAGTGCAGCTAGCATTCTTCTTAGTCTTTTTCTCTGTGATGATTTGGACCAACATATTACAAAATATATATATATATAAGAAGATGGTATTTTGTAGGTAGATTACACTATATTTATTAGGTTAAATCTCTAATTTGATCCTTAAACTATTGTATGAATTCTTGATTTGGTCCTTAAACTAAAATAATCCTTGATTTGATCTCTAAATTATTATACAGAACCCCCAATTTGATCCTTATTATTTATCAATTTGCCCTAAATTAATCCTTCCATAAAAAAAAAAGCTAACGGGTCTAGTATTTAACGGTGAAAAATAATAACTTAACGGTAAAAAATAATAATTTAACCGTCACGTGTCATGTTAATAATGAGACACGTCAACTGTTTTTTTATAGAATGACCAACTTGAGGTAAATTGATAAACAGTAGGGATCAAATCGAGAGTCTGTACAATAATTTAGGACCAAATTGAAGATTTAACCTATTTATTATTAAATGAGATAAGCTCTCTATGTTGAAAGGTTTTTTTTTTATAATGATTGATATTTTATAATTTAAATTATAAAATAAACATTTTAAAATATATAAAAAAAAAACCTTTTGCAA